GACAACGGCTATGCTATATCAGTCAAGTAATATTAAAATCAGTGCAGCAGGACAACGGCTATGCTATATCAGTCAAGTAATATTTACATTCCATATTTGTGTACATAATTATAGGCACCAGATATGTTTCTACATTTGTATATATATCAGTTTCTTGTACAGAATGAATCAAGGGAATACAATTGAGTATTTTCCAATACACCATCCTCTTCTTCTTTACTTCTACACAAGCTCCCACCATTCCCTTCACCATTTCCCTAAAAGGACCCTCTGTTTCGAAGATTACCTAAAGCAAGTGAGACTTAGAGCATGCAACTCTTTTGAAACCCAAAAACAAGAAGCTCCTCTGGAAGGTCGATGATCCTCTCCCAACCGTTGGTTTCCTCAAAACAGAAAATCCTTCTTCTTCGAAACCCCTCTCTTTCGGACTTCTCTCTTCTGCTTCTCTTTTTTTTTTCTTGTTTACAGTGACGAGAAGAAAAATGAAACACAGAAAGAACAACCCAGAAGAGAAACAAACCGAAAGAAAACTAAAAAAAGAAAAAACCAAACTCGAAATCAAACCCCTCCAGACCTTTCTGTACTCTACTTTATGCTCTATATATATATACCCAAACAACAAAATAAAAAAAATGAAATAAATAAAGAAAAGTCTTGCTCCGTCAATCACTAATGATGCCAATTTTGTTCGGTATTGCTGTTTTTTTCTGTATGGCTATAGCGTGCAGAGGCAGGGGTGCGGGATTGGGCGCAGAGTGCAGGAGGCGCAGGCTCGGTGCAACAGTACAGGGGCACAAGCAGCAAGGGCTGGTTCGGTGTAGCAGCAAGGGGGTGTAGGAGCATGATTGCCCGAAGTAGGGGTATGATTGCACGAGATCTGGGCGCAGAAGGCACGGGATCTTAGGCGCAAAAGGCACGGGATGCAGAGGGGAGAGTGCAGAGCAAGGCCGGGCGCAGGAGCCAGGGGCGCAGAGTGCAGGAGGCAAGGTTCAGTCACGGAAGCAAAAGGAGCGCGGAGCAGGGCTGGCTCGCGGTAAGCAGGGGGCGCAGAGGTGCGATGAGCGTGGAGGAGGAAGGTTGGTTTGGGTGTGAGGGAGGAAGAAGGTTCTGGATGCCTTCCTTTTTCTTTTTCTTTTTCTTTTTTTGTTTCTTTTTCTTTTCTTTTCTATTTTTTGGGTTTTTATGGTTTTTGGGTTTGGTATTTGGGTTTTGAGTTTTTGAGGGTTTTGGGTAATTGGGTTTGGGTAGTCGGTGGGCTTGGTTTTAATGGGCTAGATTTATAGCTTAAAGGATTTCATCCCCCGACTTTTTATTTCTTCAATTGAGTGCTTTCTTCCTTCTTCTCCTACTTTTTTGCGAAATTTCCTTTTGCTTGCAAACCTAAAAATGAAAGTAAAAACCAAACATATTAATTAAGATAAAAACTAAAATAAAATAAAAATTTTAATTTAAAAATTTTGAGTTATGACACTCAGCAACCAGGGGTTGACTATGGTGACACTTTTGCTCTAGTTGCTAGACATGATACAATCAGATTGTTGCTAGCCTTATCTGCATGTATGGTTTGGAAGCTATACCATATGGATGTTAAATCAGCTTTTCTTAATGGTTATTTGCATAAGGATATCTTTGTTGAACACCCATAAGGCTTTGTAATTTCTAGACAGAAGGAGAAGGTTTACAAGTTGAAAAAGGCTCTTTATGTGCTTAAACAAGCTCCTAGATCATGTTATAACAGAATTGACTCATTTCTAATGCAGCAAGGTTTTGTTCAAAGTGAGAATGAGCCAACTCTATGTGAAAGTCTCCAAAGGTGAGTCTTCTACACAAATGACTGCTAATCATGATGCTAAGTTGTTGATTTCTTTGTATGTTGATGATCATTTAATTACAAGAAGCAACTTACAATTATTGGAACATTTCAAGTTTGAAATGATGAAGGAATTCGAAATGTCTGATTTGGGACAAATGAGCTACTTTTTGGCATGGAGATAACTTAGATGGATGGTGGGATTTTTGTTTCACAGCAAAAGTATGCTCTTAATGTACTGAAGAAATTCAACATGGAGATGTGCAAGTTTGTTTATACACCACTTGTACAAAATGAAAAACTAATGAATAATGATGGAAGTAACGAAGTTGACGTTTTAGTTTTTAGAAGTCTGGTAGGAAGTCTTTTATTTTTAATTGCAACCAGACGTGATCTTATGTTCTCTGCTAGCCTCCTTTCAAGATTTATGCATTCTCCAAGTCAAGTTCATTATAGTGTAGCTAAAAGTGTTCTTAGATATTTTAAGGGAACTGTAGATTATTGCCTTATGTTTAAGAAGAGCAATGTTCATGTTCTTGAAGGTTACGTGGATAGCGATTGGGCCAGATGTTTTGAAGATGCTAAGAGCACTACTGGATTTGTTTTTAATCTTGGTTCTACAACCTTTTCATGGATTTCTCAAAAGCAAGATGTGGTGGCTCAATCAACAATTGAGGCTGAATATATTATAGCAGCTGAAGTAGCTAATCATTCAGCATGGATTTGCAAAATGCTTACTGATATAGGCTGTAAACAAATTCAGCCTTGTGTTCTTCATTGTGACAACAACTCAACAATTGCAATTGCACATAATCTAGTGCAACATGGCTAAACCAAGCACATGAATGTCAAATACCATGTGCTTAGAAATATGGTGCAGAACAATGAATTGAAAATTGTCTACTATAGTACAGAAGAACAAGTTGCTGATATACTGACAAAAGCTCTTCCAAGAGCTAAGTTTGAAATGTTCAAAGAAATGCTTGGAGTATCTAAGAAAAATTGCAAGGAGGAGTGATGAAGTGTGAATTTTACGTAGACACTCATTAACTAGTATTTTAATTATGTTAAATGTATGGGAGCCATGTGATGTAATTTGTCTTTTTGTATTTTGGTAGATAGTGGTCAAAACCACTCAAGTTTGTACAATGTAAGAAGCAAGCTCCATATTTCAGTCAATGATATTAGAGGAAGATGCATGGTCATGTCTTCCAAGTTTTCCCTCAATTTCTCCTCTGTTTTTCCTCTTACAGTGAGCTTTCTATGCTCATCTTCTTCTGATCTCCATCAGGCATAAAATGGAAATTTGACTCAGTTTTTGGATAGAATGCCATTCACTTTTGTCCTGCCAAAGCAAGATCTAGGATGAACTAGTCATTTGGTTGAGATTCTTTATCTATAACAATTGGATATTGTTGGAAACAATACTTGTCCTACAAATCTATTTCAGAAATAATTTTCCGGATGATCAGATTCCTAACTTAAGAATAATTTTCTTCTTTATGAGCTCTAATAGCCATGAGTGTAAAATGTCAAATCACCTACGAACTTGATGAATGATGAATGAGAAATGATTAGTTTGAATTTATACCCGCCCTTTCTCAATTCCTAAGGACGAGAGTGAACTTGTCTGAAATTCTTTGTATGTTCAAAAGATGGGATCTATTGGCATTGATTTCTAACCTTCAATACTATAAAGAGTAAGCCTTATCTCACTTTGTTGTTGGAAAAAATTGTTACATGCAATGCCGTTAACCTTTTGTTTTTGTTATTTTCTTAAAAGCCCTTTGCTTTTAGGGCTTGGAATAGATGAGTTCATTACTTAAATCTGAAAAATCAGGTAAAAAAAACTGAACCTCAGAAAACTTTGATCCAGATTCTAGAAGGGATAGTCCTCGGGACACTTTGCTGGAACATACATTGAGAAGCATTGTAAAAAAGAAGAGCCACAGGTGCTACCTTTGTTTGATTTTGATAACATAGTAGTTGCTACCAACAACTTCAGCATGGCTACTAAACTTGAGCAAGGAGGATATGGACCAGTTTATAAGGTGAGTGATAATATATCCTTTTCAAGGAAAAAGTGCTTTATGGTTCTAGAAAGGTACACAGAAAGCACAGCTTGATGAATTTGTGAATTTTATTAGGGAAAGCTACATGATGGGATGGACATGGCAGTCAAGGGGCTCTCTAGTAGCTAGGACAAGGCATAGAAGAGTTCTAAGAATGAAGTCAAGTTGATCTCTAAACTACAACACAAAAATCTTATCAAGCTCTTTGGTTGTTGTGTTGAAGGAGAAGAAAGGATACTAATTTATGAGTCCATGGCCAACAAAAACTTGGATAATTCTTTGTTTGGTAGATTCTGCCAAGCACTTTTCTTTTCTCCCTTAGTTGTATCACATCTCATCTTGTCATGTTAACCATAAAGCCATGATCTTTTCTTTTCCCTGCATTTAATATTGTTTTCCATATTAAGCCTGGATTAATGATCTTGTTAGCCTAAATTATGCTGATTACTCTTGATAAGTGGCATCAAAAGAGAATTATAAGTATTAATTATGTTTCCAATGGATGCATTTTATTAGGTCCAACAAAAGAGTAGAACTATCTTGGGTGAAATGTTTCTACATCATCATGTGGTTTGCTCGTGGGCTTCTTTATCTCCGTCGTGATTCTTGTTTAAGGGTTATACAACATGATTTGAAGGTCAGCAACATTCCCGTAGATAACAAAATGACTCCAAAAATTTCAGACTTTGGATTGGCAAGGATCTTTGAAGGGACACGGTATTTGGCAAATACACAGATGGTTGTTGGAACACCATAAGCACGGTTTTCCTTCTCGAATTTATTCAACTATTATTCTTTATGAATTATATTTCACCCTTAGACATTGGAACAACAAGTGCACAGATAGCCCAAGTCATAAGCTTTAGGTTTTTTCTTCCCTCTCAAATGTGTTGTAAGCAAATTTGTTTTCAGTTTCACATTACTAACTTGACCAAAGTGAATTGATTACAACTACATATATGTTTATGTATTTGTGGAAAATTCAAGTTGTCTGGGATGAGGAAGGACTTGAATCTCTAGGCACAGACATTCCATTACATTCTTCAAATGGTGTGTGTAATTCAGACTGTGAACTCTTAGAGTTTCAAGACTTCTGACTTGACATTAAGCCAAGTTCTCACTGGTAGTAGTTATAAAATTTTATATAAGCAAAAATTTTAAATATCTAATTTTTACTTTAAATTAAAATTTTAAAGTTAGTGGTTACTAATTTGAAGAACTTTTTGTTGATGATGTTCTTTATCTATTAATGCATAAGTGATTATTACGAAAATTGACACTTGGATTTACATTTAATTTAAAATTAATTGGTAATAAATGGAGTAGTTCTTTTTATATTTAACCCATAAGTTTTTTGGTTGTTTTGCTCGATGTGTAATTTTTCCACTCGACGCACTCTATTCCCCATGAATAAAATATGATACAATGTGAAAATTGACATATAGCTTTTAACACAAATACAAAATTTACATCTAAGTTAAAACCAATAAATACTAAATAATATAGCTTGAACTCATATATTTCTTTATTATATCCTTTGGGCTCATTATGAACATTGGGTTTGAATTTCAGGTCTTATCAAATGAGTTAATAATAAACCTCTCAAAAATAAAAATTAAGTTTTGATACTATATAAAAATTAAGTATATAAACTTTAAAACAACATTTATATCTAATTTAAAATTAATTAATAATAAATAAAATAACTATTCTTATATTTAACATTTGTATTTATTTCTTATGTTCTCCGCGTGAGATTTTCCCCTTCAAATAATTTTTATTCAACAAAATTGACACCCTTGAAATTTCAAGGAAATTGACATCCTTGAAATTTCAACAAAATTGATGGGCATCTCTTATGCCTTGTTCCCTTTCAAGCAAAGCAATATCTTTGCATTCACGCGGTTTGTTGGCAATTATTATTCTTTGAATTTGTTTGCACAGTTATTGACTTGTAATTTTAGGGGCTTTTTTTTAGGTTAAATGTTAATTTTGGTCCTTCAACTTTATAGTATTGTATTTTTTATCCTTCAACTATTTTTTACACTTTTTTAATCCCTCAACTCTAAAAATTGCACAAATTTAGTCCCTCCGTCAATTAAGTATGACGTGGTTGTTAAATAATTTCATATGACATTTTCTTTTAATTCTTTTGATGATGTGGTAGTAACATATCTTATAATTATGTTACATGGACAAAAAAAATACCATGCCAAATGAATATTTATATTTTCATAAAAAGAAATAAAAACAAACAAAATTATGTTAGGTTAAATGCTTAATTTGGTCCCTCAACTATAGTGGTTTGCACATTTTTGATCCCTCAACTACAAGAAATGCACTCCGTTAGTCCTTCTGTTAATTTGAGCCGTTAACTCCGCTTACGTGGCATTTTTTATATTTTTTTTGATGATGTGGAGAGCAAAGTGATGACATGGAGAGCAAAGTGATGAC